CTGGTATAGCTGCAGCTGCTGGTATAGCTGCAGCTGCTGGTATAGCTGCAGCTGCTGGTATAGCTGCAGCTGCTGGTATAGCTGCAGCTGTTGCAGCAGTTTGTCGAGAAAGTGTCGCGGTGTTGCCATATGGCGGCCCTCAGCTCCCGACTTTCCCTCTGGCGCTGAGGGAGCGTCCACTAATAACTCAATATAATTAATATTCATCAGAATTTTTAAGCCTATTTGTGTTGCTCAATTGATGTTTATTACTAATATTACATCTACCTGATTAATATATTGGAATATTGAGCTACAGTCTACGTTAATGCCCTCGTTGGTCGTAAATAAATGTAAAAAAATAAATGTAAATGGTATGATATTAAATAAATATTTCATTATATATACATATATATGATATAAAACATGATAAGCATTAGAGAAAATTGAGGCCTCGCGGCTGACCTTGACCTGGCTTAAGAAATTGCGTTCGCAACGGCGCTGCTAACGACGCGTTCACCTCCAATATTGCACTGGCGTTCACCTCCAATATTGCACTGGCGTTCACCTCACATATTGCACTGGCGTTCACCTCACATATTGCACTGGCATTCACCTCACATATTGCACTGGCGTTCACTTCAAATATTGCACTGGCGTTCACTTCAAATATTGCACTGGCGTTCACTTCAAATATTGCACTGGCGTTCACATCACATATTGCACTGGCGTTCACTTCAAATATTGCACTGGCGTTCACCTCAAATATTGCACAGGCGTTCATGTTTGAAACTACGCGCGAAATAACGGCCATTTCAGCGGTCAGCTTCACACGAAATATTATTTTCATCTTCATTGAGAGAAACACGCAGCCTGGGCTCACCCGAGGCTCCAAATTCGACGTAATGCCTTTTTGTGGTAAAGATAATTGAACTCTCGTTAATTCCTGCACGCTAATTGTGTTCGGTCTTTAAGCGCGAGTGGCAGCGAACGTTTGTCAGGGCTAATGAGTGGCTAATACGAATAAATGCGAATCATCGTATGAAATGAAATCAAAACATTGTCCTATAAATAGGATTAAATTTATAATAATTTTGAAAAGGCGAAAAATTTCTCCCGCGTATTTTATTAACGCGATAAAATATAACTTCTCGTCCTCTGTAATTTGTTCGTCTTTCCCCCGTCAGCTGTTGGTGGCGCTGGTGTGGGGGGTGGGTGTGTGCCAGGCCTCCCCCGTCAAGCCCCCTGACGCCACCCCCCCTATCTTCTCCCAGCCCCAGCTCACCTACGGCGTCGTCAGGTTCGGACGAGGATTACGACGAAGCCAAATATGTGTTCGAATGGCAGGTCGCGGACGACGGCTCCGACTTCGGCCAGACGGAGACCCGCGACGGGGACCACACGCGCGGCTCGTACGTCGTGGGTCTGCCAGACGGACGACGACAGACCGTCACGTACCACGTCACGCAGGACTCGGGGTACGTTGCTGACGTCACGTACCAGGGGGAGGCTCAGTACCCTCAGCAGAGGCACGTGGCGTCACGTCCAGCGTACACGAACTAACGTACCCGACCTACGTTACGGGTCGGCAGGACATTCGAGGATTCCATACATTAAATTTATTATATTATTAAATCAATAAATACTTTAGAATTGCGTCTCTTTGTAAACAAGTACGTAAACCTATGATCAATAATATAATCTATGATATCTTCATATATAGCGAAGAAATTTTCCATACATTTTCAAACTATTCTTTGTGTTTGATTAACTTTCCTGGGGCGGGAGCATTGCGAATACTATACTGCATATAGCATACACTATATTATATTATAAACTATAAAGCATATACCATACACTGTATAGTGACAGAAAAAATATATAAAGCGGTTGGAGCGCCAACGTTGACACCAAGCCTTGCTTACCGCCGAATCTAAACATCGGAGAATCTTCACAGCTCGCTGCGACTCGAACCCCTAACTCACTATTACTTGGAGCTCGAAAACACTCGGTTACACCGGCCGATGATAATCATGTTAATCATCATACGATTAATTACGTTCACCACGAGTGATCATATTAAATTAATCATGAAGCAACAAGTGATGCTATAAACTATGGTGATCTTAAATATGGAGTTATCTTGTCTTGCACCTTGTCCTTGTCTTGCACCTTGTCCTTGTCTTGTACCTTGTCCTTGTCTTGCACCTTGTAGTTGTCTTGCACCTTGTCCTTGTCCTGACAAACCGCAACTATAAAACTAAACGCTATTAACGCTAGTGTCGTGCACAAGCAGTTGAATGCTCTGTACAGCTAATAAGAGACATGATTCAAGTCGTTCCCTGAATTTTAAGCAAGCAATTTAGATGGAAAGTATTTCTAAATGAAGGAATTATTGACAACAAAATGTATATAATAATATTTGTAATAATCCACGAGACGCTGACAAGTTGTAGGCATNTGTAATATGGCTAACTTTACAGCTGCTGCACTGTACCTGTAATATGGCTAACTTTACAGCTGCTGCACTGTACCTGTAATATGGCTAACTTTACAGCTGCTGCACTGTACCTGTAATATGGCTAACTTTACAGCGGCTGCACTGTACCTGTAATATGGCTAACTTTACAGCTGCTGCACTGTACCTGTAATATGGCTAACTTTACTCAAGTTGCTTCAAGGCCGGCAACAGGCAACCCTTTTAACTGTGAGAGTCAAGCATACTATATTGATCACAATTATGGCTCAAAAATGGACAACATCTGGAAAATGGCTGTTGCAGATGTTGATGAAATTAACCAAATATTATAAGAGAGTTTTAAATTGAAAATTTCATCAACAGAGTTAAGGGAAAATTCTCTCATTACATCTGAGTAAGAGATGCTTGTTTTTTTTTTTGTAATTAGTATATAATGTCTGCATAAATCTCAATTTTATCAAGTTTTAGGAGCAATAAGAAATTATTCAAGAAATAGCATCTAACAAATTATTATAGATCTACAGAAACTTCAACACTACCTATTAAAAATCTAGGACAAGTTGTACATACCTTGATGTTGTAGCCAAAGTCAGGGTCAGGAACTCGGACATTTGTCAAGTTCTCCAACTGGCAGCTCAGCAGCACTTTAAATATCTGCAAGAGCAATAGTGAAACACATACTATCACAGTCAAAAACAAGCACAAACCTTGACCCAACATTCCAACTTACAGGCATGGTGTCTGCATGTGACCCAAACACTTGAAACAGTTTCCAGCACTTCACTGATGCTCAGCTTCTGTAAAAAAAATACAAATTATGAACACAATTAATATTGGTATGGTAATATATTTATTAAACAGACTATAGAGGAACTCCTGTAAGTTAGTCAAGTTACCAAGAAGTATTAAGCATGAATTAAATACCTAAATATGACATTTTTAAAATTAACACTCTGAAAGTAAAAAAATTCTGGACGTGTAGACCAAACCATATGGTATTCTGATTTCTGAAGATCATATTAACAAAGATATTGTTAACAATTTTTGTCTCATATGTTGACAGAGGCTGCTAGAGATACAAAATTTTTTTTACTTGGATATTTATTCTTTTCTGAAATTTTGATTCAGTTCTGAGCACAGTACAGTCTTTTTTGACTTAGTAGTCTCACTAGTCTGTAGTCTGTACTCTGTAGGACAGTGGACTGTGGCATTAGGTTCCATTAGTCAGTATTCAGCTTTGCACTGTTGCACAGACTGGAGTTTCAGAGAATTCTGACTAAACTCTTAAGCTTAAACTAAAGGTTGCCCAAATATTACTGAAATTTTCATTTTGAATGGACCAATTCACTAAGGTACAAAGCAAGCATTGAACTAAACTACTAAAGTACATCTGAGGCCGTAATACAATGAACGGAGAATTAGGGATAGTAGTTAACAAACATAAATGATGAAGCCTGAAGCTAAATGAGCAAAAGTCGCTGCTGAAATTCTTCTTCTTCCGCTTTATGAAGACTCGCTTGTTCACCACCCACCTCAGGTCTGGATTGTCAGCGATGGCCAGACTGTCTGACACTCTGACTGCACTGCTGAAATCCTTGGCGAATATAAGATCGATAAAATTTGGCGGAGAATTGTGTGATTCCGCAACTGCAGAAGTTCGAGAAGCAGTAGGATATCATTCCAAATTACTGGCGCAACAAAAATCGCAACCTTTCAAAATTTCTTATTTCCAGACACTTGCATGCAGATTAACGCATTTTCCAGTCTTACATGATCAATGGTCATTTCTCATCTCCTACATATATAGAACAGTGGGTGCTAATGAGTTTATATCATCAATAATAAATGGCATCCCCACTCTGCACTCAATCAATAAGCTTAATCGCTAATAGAGCTTAAAACAACAACTACCGATAACTCCAGCATTGAATCTTTGAGACCAACCGTTGGTCTCAGAGGTTGAACACTTATATCTCCCCAAAGTACATTATGCTATTAGTATTACTACGGATTGGTAATTAACTTTGAAAAGTGATTTTTTAACCTGAATACGTCACTCCACCTTCGCTGCGTAAGATACTTTATTAGATGTAATCGTTCAGCTCCCAATCTTGTTTTTGTAATTATTACAGTCTCATGTCAATGAGTAGAGAACTGTTTTAAGCAATATAAGTGAATTATCCTTTTTTGACACCTCCTGGACAAAAACGCGGCCTGTCTCACGGCCGTGACTCAGGAAATTCATCGTACATGGAATCTCTTCCAAACTACTGAACCGATTTCGATGAAACTTGGTATATAGATTCCTGACCACCTAAAGGTGATGTCTAGCCCGTGTGAATTTTCGCGATTTCGCCCGCGTTCTCGATTTATACGGTAATACTGGCAAAAATGCGCATCGTACATGGAATTTCTTCCACACTACTGAACCGATTTCAATGGAACTTGATTTATAGATTCCTAACCACCTAAAGACGATGTCTTGCCCGTGTGAATTTTTGCGATTTCGGAGGTTTTTTGACTAGCGCAGAGTTGATATTTGAATATTATCAATAACTGTTTCTTACAATATATGTTACCACTCCGCACCCCCCTTCACATTTTTTTGTGAGAAATTTCAATTTTTGACTTTTAAGCATGATTAAAACTCGCGTGCTAGCATCTATCTTGAATATAGCATAAGTAATTCGACGTAACCAAATGAGCCGATGTTCACCGGTCATATCTTGACCTCCTGTGTTCATTGAGTGTATATAAGTGCAGGCTGCACATGCAGGGATCCACTTTCTCGAAGCGACATAAAATAATCATAAATAATTCAAATCTCAAGTTAACAATCACACTTGAGTTAATAATAGGCTTTCATTTAACTTGTGTATTGCTTATTCATTATAGATAACATTTCTAAATCGTTGTACATTGCAATGATATGAAAGACGCATTCTATCCCTAAATGCCTAGACTGTATATAGGTAGCCATACCGATACTACATATAGATAGCATCTTGCATCATAAACTGTATATTACGTCTAAACGTGGATTCTATATTAGAATTCCGATTTTCCTTCATAGCTTATAATAAAAATTGTTGAATACTTTTGACTATTATTCTATTTAGGTAATTTGGGATAGTTATATTAGAGGATATTCAGATAAGGAGGCTTGATACATTGCAAGCATTGACGTAATAAAATTGTCTTTCAGTAACTTGAATTTCGATCTACCGACAACAGTGTAGAATTTTGTGCGTTTCCTTTAGAAGGAAGATTAGATTTATCATATACAACACTTTCTCGGGTCTGCAATCAAACTTGTATAAGAACATAAATTGTGCGAGTTTATACAAATAATACAGATATGGGTTGGAGGGAGTGGGTCGCCCTGTAGAAATTATGGGTCACAATATGGACAAACAAACGACGGTGGTCGGTACAGCGATGCACAGTCTGTGGACAGGCAGATGGACAGATGATGGTAGTCTGTGGCCAGACAGACGGACAGATGGTGGTAGTGTGACGCCAGACAAATGGACAGATGATGTTGGTCTGTGGCCAGACTGATGGACTAAAGTACGTGGTCAGTGGCCAAATAAATGGAAATGCAGGTGGTCGGTCGCTACAGTGATGGCAGATGCAAGTGGTCAGTGTCCACTGAAAGGACATGTAGGCGGTCAGTGGCCACAGAATGGACATGCAGGTGGTCAGTGGCCGCAGGATGAACATGCATGTGGTCAGTGGCCAAAAAAATCGACAAGCTGGCGGTCAGTGGCCGGAGAGGGCGGCGTAGAGGAGGGTGCGGGCAGCCAGGGTGGTGGTGGCCACGCCCCTGGTGTCCGCCAGGCTGGGGTTGACCTCCACGAGGTCCAGTGCCCTCAGGTGGCCAGTGGCCCTCGCGGCCTCCAGCGCCACGCAGCCCTCGCGCACCGTCAGCCCTCCCATCACTGCCATTATATTGCCATTAGTGGCAGCACATTGCCATTAGTGGCAGCACGTTACCATTAGTGGCAGCACGTTACCATTAGTGGCAGCACATTGCCGTTAGCGGCAGCACATTGCCGTTAGTGGCAGCACATTGCCATTAGTTGCAGCACATTGCCATTAGTGGCAGCACATTGCCATTAGTGGCAGCACATTGCCATTAGTGGCAGCACATTGCCATTAGTGGCAGCACATTGCCATTAGTGGCAAAACATTGCCATTTGAAGGGCAAGAATCAGAGTTGGCAAGAGGCAACACTACACGCATAGCTGACAACCCCTGAAGGATAAATAGCAAAATAAGCATAGCTGGCAACCCTAAAGACATAGATGGCAACGCCATACGCTTAGCTGGCAACCACTGAAACAGAAATGATAAAATAAGTATATCTGGCAATCCAACAGACGTCATTGGCAAGACTATTCACATAGCTGGCAACCACTGAAAC